CATTTCAAGTTTTCATGAAGAAATGAGAATGCTAGGTTTTGGATGAATAGTAACAACGTGAATAGTGACTTTTGATGAAAAAATAAGGTTGTTTGGTATTGTTTCATGTTATAGAGTTGTTCCTTGTGACATTGTGGTGGAGGAACACCCATTGGAAGCAACATTTGCTCAAGATAAAAATTCTTGAAATTTTACCAAAGAGGGGTAAGTTGTATTTTATGAGGAATTTTTAGCCAATAGCTTAACGTTCCTTGTGTTGTATGATTTGTTGATCACCTTTATACATTTGCCATAGGTTGCTCTTATGTGAAAGTGGGTGATTGTGCTCATTTGAGCTAAAGAAGAGTATTGGAAGTGTATGTTTGATAAAGTGAGTGTTTGAATGACTCAAGAGTCAAGTCATGAGTAAGTTAAGCTATGAATTATGTGAAAAATGAAGAGAGGAACATCTTGCCTTCCTTGTATGTGGCTTCGACCATATGAGGTCTAGGTAGGTTAGGATGTTCTAAAAATTGTAATGAGTATTTTAGAGGCATGGTTATGTCATTCTAAGACCCTATGTAAGCATGAAACCATGTGTTTACTTGTTGAATTAGTAATCACCCTAAAATGGTCTAATATGTGAGTTTAAGAATTTTGGTCTTGACTTGTGGGTTGGCATATAGTTGGCATAAGCTTTGTAAGTACATATGAAAGCAATACAGTGTATGTGTCTTGTATAATTACATGACATTGTATCACTTATTGAGTTTGTTTTGGAATCCTTCTCTAGGTGTGCCTAGGGATTTTGGATTTATGGATCATTTTTGAGAAAGCTAAGTAGCTTGTGTGACAAGTAGGCGTATTGTTAAAACTTCAAGAGGTAAACTCTATGTTTAAGGAGTTCTCTCCTATCTATGTGCTCCACCATGGTTAATGGACTATGGTTGGTATTGTATGATTGTCTTCTAATACTTGGTATAAATGCATTCATATAGAGCTATATGATGATATGATATGTTTACTTTGATATGTTTCGATACGATATGTGTGTTGAGTTCCACTTGGGGTCCACCCTTGGGAACACGTGCACTGATTTCTGCTTGGGGTCCTCCCTTGGGATTGACTGTGTACACCTCTGTTATGTGATGATCTTTGGCCATTGATCATATGTGCACTGATGTTTTCTTAGGGTCCTCCCTCGGGACTGACTGTGTACATCTCTGATATATTTTTGGTTCCGCTTGGGGTCCTCCATTGGGAATACATGCGCTGATTTCCGCTTGGGGTTCTCTCTTGGAAATGACTGCGTACGTCTCTGATAAGATATGTATATATGTTTGGTTCAGTTATGATAATTGTTATATGACGCCTTGTATACCTCTGTTATATATTGAGTTCCACTTGGGGTCCACCCTTGGGAACACGTACGTTGAATTTCGCTTGGGGTCCTCCCTTGGGAATGACTGCCTACATCTTTTATATGATATGTTTTGTTCTGATGTGATTACTGTGATGATTTTCGTAAATGAATTTATATGCACTGATTGTCGCTTGGGGTCCTCCTTTAAGATTGACTGTGTACACTTCTGTTATGATATTTGTTACGTGCACTGATTTTTGCTTGGGTTCCTCCCTTGGGAATGACTGCGTACATCTCTGATAAGATATATGTATATGCTCAGTTTAGTTACGATATTTGCATATATGATGTCGTGTATATTCTGTATCAGACTTTCATGCAGGAGTGGGCCCAGGGTATGGAGATTTCTCTATAAACCTGGAGCTTACTGAGATAGTTGGGGACATCATTTCAGGTGTGTAGATAGTTGGCGAACCGTCACAGGGAAAGGATACGACCCATGGCTTGAGGTGTTGTAGGGGATATGTGTAATTTGGATGATTCATTATCATTGTGTAGAGACATGATCCGTGTGTAGCATTATGTTGCCATTATTTTGAAGGACATATATTTATTGTTTAGTACTGTTCTATTCATTTTCGGATCATGAGGTTTGATCTATTATACTGTATATGGTATGTATATGTTTTGTACATGTTTTCATATTCGATACATGTACATTTGTGTATTCAGACATGTTATATGATGATGTAGTATTCAGATACATGCATGTTCTAAGATATCTATGTTGTTAGACATAGTGGCACGAAGCCATTTATGCATGCGCCCATGGATAGGTATTAGGTCCGTTGTTGGACCGTATATAATTATATTATATGTTAAGATGATATGTTTATTAGGTACGGATTATGAGGGTGATATTTAATCCCCATTTGTTCGGCTTACAGCCGTTACACTATCCAATTTTAGACTCCGTTTAGATTGACACTTGTTGTCATATTTAGATGGTCAAAGGCCATTTACACATAGTCATGGATAAGAGAGGAAAGTTTTAGAAAAGAAATTATGACTCATGCGAATGGAGGGACGTAAGGTTATATATCATGTGAAACGAAATGAAGAAAAGGAAAAAGTTTAGCTTGTATTTTCGTAAGCTAATGCAAGATTATAAGTTAAGTTTTTCACTGATGCATGTTTTAGTATCATATGTATGTTAATTGAACCGGCTCGAGAAGCGGATGTTACATCGTAAAATATATTTTTGCCGGGTAATTTGCAACGCTGTTTAGGCCACCGGTAGAGTCCAAAAATCTGAAAAACTTTAGTAAAATTATGTTCAAGTCCAATATATGCCATACATGTCAATTTTTGACAAAAAATATTAACTTTAGAAGTTTTACGATTTTACGTGCAAAATTGCATAGTTAATGATTCACAGTGCATGTTTTCGAAAACAGTGTCCAAATTCATCTGTGAATAGCTTAAAATATTCCTTATGGAATATAAGTGAATGTAAATAAACTCAGAAAGTATAACACATCGCAATTCTAAAACATATATTAATATAATAAATATGGATTAAAGGGTAGGATTAGTGAAAATCCTGAAATTAAGGTCAAAATACAAAGGAAGGGTAAAACGGTAATTAGCCAAATATGTAACCCTAGGAAAGTGAAATTGAGTAGGAGGTCTCAAATGATAAAACTAGTCTTGAAAACGGATTCAGAACAAAAAATTGAGTGGTTAAGCAAGTTTCTGAAAATTTGGAGAATAGTATTTTTACCGGGTAAAAATACTGCGGTATAGTTACACCGTAAAGCGTGTCGAATGAATTTCGAGCTCTAACTTTGGATATAAGTTATAAATGATACATAGGACTAGGAAATATGATTTTTGGTGAAAATTGATGGAAATTAATGTGTTTGGGGAAGCGTGTCCACAGCGCACATAACAGCTTAAAACTCGATTTCCCCGAACGACCGGAAAACTCCGGATTCATCTAATAAAGGGAAATTAAAGGACAATGGTTAATGTTAATAATTAGAGTTTCTAAATATTTTATGTCAAATTGAAGCTTGAGGTGTCTAGTTTCCTGTATAAAACTTTGAGAGCAATTGGTTAAGTGGATTTTCCAGAATCGTTAAGAGAGTGAAGGCTGTTTAGAGCCCTGTTCGAGGTTGGCTGGCAAATTTTCTTGTCCAACTTCAAACGGTGATAATCAAAGAAAACAAGAACTTTATGACTCGTGTAATAGCTCGTTAGAAATATAATTAAGTGTAGAATAACATACTAAAAGATGAGAAGCGCGCGACATGCAAATTTTACGCAGTAATTAAAATACCGAACCACATTCAGATAGGTAGAAAACGTAAAAGTAGAATTTAGGCTAAGTGAGTTTATGGGAATGCCTTAGTGACTTGAGAGGAGTGTTATATGATATCTAGGCAGTTTATATTATTATTCCGCAAAGAGTTATCAGTTACGGTCACAACTTTTATTTATTACGCTTTTTATCGTTTTAAATGCTCGCGTAATAAAAAAAAAGTTTACTCGCATTTTTATAAAGGAATTGCTGTGATTGTAACTGTGCCTAATATCATAATCAATGTTAACAATACCGGTATGTAACGGACTGTTACATTTTATGGTATCAGAGCAGTTTACAAGGGAACTCTGATTATGTATGACTGTATTTTTTGTTATATAGCTATCTGTGAACTCTTTATGATTAATGTATATGTGATTCCTCAATGTGAGTCTGATCAGCTCATTCCTTTGTGTTACATGTACAGATATCATGAGGAGGGCTCGTGGTCGCCATGGAACACAGGGTGCAGATCCTCCAACACCTGATCCGGTTATTGCAGTTCTGAATGCTCTGCAGGCGGAGACGGCTGCTAATAGAACAATGACCGAGAACCTGATGAGAAATAATCAGGATGTGATGAATGCCTTCATGACTGAGATAAAGGCTGATAGAGCTTGGCATAGGAGGGATGATTCTCCTCCATATACGGCTACGGTGACTCCTACACCTACGCCATCGGATACACCTCTGCAGGAGGGGAATGGGGCTAGTCACCATTCTGGTGAGGCTAGTCAGCCCACTATGGATCCTACATATGTTTCGCAACCTTCTGTTGATCCTACTGTTGTTGCTCAGTCTTCTGGGGTTGCTGAACAATTAGATGCTGGTGCTGATGAGCGAAGGCTCATATCGTTCAAGAAACACAAACCTCCAGCATTTCAAGGGTCAAAGGACCCGAAGGTAGTTACTACTTGGCTGATAGGAATGGACAAAATATTTCAGGTAATGAGGTGCCAGGATCCACAGAAGCTTATGTATTCAGTGTATATGCTAGAGGGAGATGCCCACGAGTGGTGGTGCAATGCATCTCGTTCGTTTGCTATTCAGGGAGAAGAGATGACATAGACCTTATTTGAGGGATTGTTTCATGAGGAGTACTTTTCTAGGGATGTCCGGGAAGTTAAATAGGGAGAATTTGATAAACTGGTACATGGGACTATGACAATTGATGCTTATTTGGCCAAGTTCAATGAATTGGTCAAGTTTGCGAATTACGGGGGTGTTCTACCTACTCTTGAATTTTTATCTACTAAATTCCAAAGAGGACTCAGTTAGAAGATTGCAAAGAGAATGTCGAATACTGCTGTTAGAAATTTTGCTGATCTAGTGACCCAGTGCAAAAGGGTTGAGATTGTGTATGGCAGATATCCAAAATCTAATTCTGCAAGAAAGAAAGAGATTAAGAGGACATCTGGTCCTTCTGGTAATAATAATAGAGGAGGCTACCATCATAATAACAACAGGGGTAGGGGGTTGCAGGTAAGGCAGCCTCCTGGTCAATTTAAGAGAGGTGGTGGTCAGAGGGGTGGCTACAATGACAGAAACTCTACTCCTCAATGTGAAAAGTGTAAGAAGTATCATCGGGGTCCTTGTACTGTGCCTCCGAATTCTTGTTTTAAGTGTGGTAAGGTTGGGCATTTTGCCAGGGAATGCTACAACAATACGGGGCAGGCTGCGAATCTGCAGGCCTTGCCATCTGTCCCTACTGTGGGACGTGTATACACTATTAATGTACAACAGACAGAGAAGGCACCGAATCTTGTGAAAGATATCATTTTCATCTCTAATATTGATTTATCTGTGTTGTTTGATTCGGGAGCGACGCATTCGTTCGTGGCAGAATATATTGCTAAGGGGTTGAACTTAAGGGTAAGACAAATGATTCTCCCTATGCGTATTACTGCTGCTACATGAGAGGTTAGTGATTCCTCCTTTATTTGTAAAGAAGTCGGATTTGTCTATGAAGGCAGGGGTTACACCATTGATTTGATTATCTTGCCCCTGGCCTCTGTTAATTTGATTTTGGGTATGGACTGGTTGTCTCAGAACTGCGCAATGATTGATTGTTGCGGAAGAGGTTGATATTATCTCACGAGAAGCCCTCTGTTTTTCTGTCTCCTTATCTGTCTGTCTGTCAAACTATTAAAGCCTTGAATGCTAGTTATCTGGGTTATGTCTTCTTATGTGGATTGGTTGGCGATATGGAGTTAGAAATTTCAAGTATTCTGGTGGTTAATGAATTTGCTGATGTATTTCCTGATGAGATACCCAAATTTCCACCTGAGAGAGAGATTGAATTCTCTATTGATTTGTTGCCTGGTGTGGAGCCTATCTCTTTGGCTCCATACCGGATGTCGCCACTGGAGCTGGCTGAGTTGAGGAAGCATATTGAAGAGCTATCTGCAAAGAACTTATCAGGCCGAGTGTGTCTCCATGGGGAGCACTGGTAATATTTGTGAAAAAGAAGGAGGGTAACATGAGATTATGTACCGACTACCGGAAGTTGACTAAGGTTACAATTAAGAACAGGTACCCGTTGCCACGTATTGATGATTTGTTGGATCAGTTGAGGGTGCCTGTGTATTTTCTAAGATTGATCTCCGGTCCGGATACCATCAGATCCGGATTAAGCCAGATGATGTGCCTAAAACGACGTTCCGATCTAGATACGGACACTTTGAGTATCAAGTGATTCCTTTTGGGCTTACTAATGCCCTTGCGATGTTCATGGACTATATGAATCGTATCTTCAAACCGTATTTGGATCAGTTTGTGATAGTATTTATTGATGATATTCTGATTTATTCCAAAAGCAAAGAGGAGCATACGGATCATCTGAGGACTGTGTTGCAAGTGTTGAAAGATAAAAAGTTGTATGCTAAGCCACCTAAGTGTGAATTCTGGCTATCTGAGGTGCAGTTTCTGGGTCATGTTATTTCTGCTAGTGGTGTTGCTGTGGATCCGAGTAAGATTGAAGCGGTAAGTGACTGGGAATAACCTAAGACTAGGACTGAGATCATGATCTTTCTGGGTCTTGCTGGTTATTATCGCAAGTTTATAGAGGGGTTTTCCGCTATGGTATTGTCGTTGACCCGATTGACACGTAACGATACTCTTTTTGTGTGGACCCAGGAATGTGAAGAATGTTTTCTGACACTTAAAGAGAAATTGACTACTACTCCTGAGTTGACTCTTCCCGATCCAAAAAGTGAGTTTGAAATGTATTGTGATGCTTCCAAGAAAGGTTTGGGGAGTATGTTGATGCAAGATAGGAAGGTGGTTGCTTATGCTTCTAGGCAGTTGAAGCCTCATGAGGAGAATTATCCGACGCACGACTTGGAGCTTGCTGCTATTGTGTTTGCCTTGAAAATCGGGAGGCATTTTCTATACAGGATGAAGTTTGCTGTGTTCAGTGATCACAAGAGCTTAAAATATTTGTTAGATCAGAAAGAGCTGAACATGAGACAACGAAGATGGGTTCAATTTCTAAAGGATTATGATTTTGAGCTGAAATACCATCCGGGTAAAGCTAATGTGGTGGCAGATGCCTTGAGTAGGAAGTCTACCAGTTTGTCTCAGCATATGATGTGGGATAATGAAGTGATTGAGCAATTTCGGGATATGAGAATAACAGATTTCTTTGCAGGTAGGATTTGTGACATTGAGCTGACTAGAATTGAAAATGAGTTGCACAAGAAGATTAAAGAAACTCAGATACGAAATGACAGTATCAAATACTTGAAAGGCCAGAGTGGCATATCTGTGAATGAACAATGATTGTTGTTATATCAGGGCAGGATTGTTGTGTCCAAAAAGCTAGCATATGAGGTTATGGTTGAGGCCCATATAAGTCAGTATGCTATTCACCCAGGTGCTACAATAATGTATCAAGATCTGAAAGAGAAATTCTGGTTGCCTGGGATGAAGAAAGATGTGGCAGATTATGTATCAAGGTGCTTAGTTTGTCAAAAAGTCAAGATAGAACATCAGAAACTAGCTGGTTTACTTCAGCCACTGGATATACCAGAGTGGAAATGGGAGGGCATCTCTATCGATTTCATTGTTGGTTTTCCTCGGACTCAGGCTAGTTACGATTCTATTTGGGTTATAGTGGACAGGCTTACGAAGTCTGCAGATTTTCTGCCAGTGCGAGTGGATTTCTCTACAGAGAAATTAGCAAAACTATATGTGAATGAAATTATAAGGCTCCACGGGATACCAGTTAGTATTGTCAGTGATCGGGACCTGAAGTTTACTTCACGCTTTTAGGGAGCCTTGCCACAGGCTTTTGGCACTCAGCTCAGGCTGAGCACTACGTATCACCCGCAGACTGATGGTCAGACTGAGAAGACCATACAAACATTTGAGGATATGCTAAGAGCTTGCCCACTAGAGCAGGGTACTGCTTGGGACAGGTACTTATCATTGGTGGAATTTTGTATAATAACAGCTTTTATTCCAGTCTGGGCATGGCACCGTATGAGGTATTGTATGGACGGAGATGTCGTACTCCTACTTGTTGGACTGAGATAGGTGACAAAGAGATGTTTGGTCCGGATTTTGTGCAAGAGACTACAGTGCAGATTCAAATGATCAGAGAAAAAATTAAACAGGCACAGAATCAATAGAAAAGTTACTATGATAATAGACACAGTCCACTGGAATTCGAAGAAGGTGACCATATATTTGTGCGGTTATCTCCGGTCACGGGTGTTGGCCGTGCGTTGGGTGTGAGGAAGCTGAGTCCTCGGTTTATTGGGCCGTATCAAATAATGAAAATAGTGGGATTAGTGGCCTATTAGCTTGTCTTGCCCCCACAGTTGTCGAATCTACACGATGTTTTCCATGTATCGCAGCTGCGGCGTTATGTTCTTGATGAATCACATGTGGTGATACCTGATGATATTGAGATTTGGGAGAACTTGAGGACTCCTGTAGGTCCTATTGATGTCCTTGACCACAGCGAAAAGAGGTTGAGAAGCAAAAATATTCCAATTCTAAAGTGTCAATGGGAAGGACGTACACCCGAGGAGGCTACTTGAGAGCGGGAGGATGAGATTCTCCGGCTGTATCCTGAGTTAGCGGACATGTATGATTTAATTTTATGGACAAAATTTCAAAAAGGAGTGGTGAATATAACACCTCGCAATTCTAAAACATATATTAATATAGTAAATATGGATTAAATGGTAGGATTAGTGAAAATGCTAATATTAAGGTCAAAATACAAAGGAAGGGTAAAACGGTAATTAGCCAAACACGTAACCCTAGGAAAGTGAAAATGAGTAGGAGGTCTCAAATGAGAAAACTAACCCTGGAAATGAATTCAGAACAAAAAATTGAATGGTTAGGCAAGTTTCTAAAAATTTGGTGATAGTGTTTTTACCGGGTAAAAATATTGCGGTGCAGTTGCACTGTAAAGCGCGCCAAATGAATTTTGAGCTCTAAATTTGGATATAAGTTATAAATGATACATAGGACTAGAAAATATGATTTATGGTGAAAATTAATGGAAATTAGTGTGTTTGGGAAAGTGTGCCCACGGCGCGCATGACAGCTTCAAACTGCGATTTCTTCCAACGACCGGAAAACTCTGGATTCATCTGATCAAGGGAAATTAAATGACAATGGTTAATGTTAAAAATTAGAGTTTCTAAATAGTTTATGAAATTATGGACGTTTAGCGGAATAGGCGGGAAATTCGAATTAGTTTGAAATCGCGTGAGGTGGTGGTTAGGCCCACCTCACTTAAGTGGACTTAGCCACTTGTCTCATTCACTATTCATCATCACTCCAAATCTCTTTTCTCTTTCTAAAAGCCATGAACTTCGGGGAGGAAAGCTTGGTTGATTCTTGATGATTTAGCCACAGAATCCAACAAAATTTGTCAGTAAACTTCAAGTAAACGACCATCCGGACACAACCATACCATCCACAAGCCTTGAAACTCACTACATTGGGAGGAAACTGCCATTTTAAGCCACAAAAAAGTGAACAGATTTGTGTTTTTGGAGTGGTTTAAATCCTCCAATGCTTTAGTATGTTATGGAGGAGTCTCAGGCCAAGCTTGTGAGTAAGTTTTGATGCTTTTGAATGGTTGATTCATGAATTTTAATTTTGAAAACCTAGAGCATATGTTGTGTGATTGATGTAGTTAGGGAGCTCGAAATGAAATTTTGTATTAGAAAATTGTGGCTTAGAATGATGTTTTAGAGTGATTGATGTCATGAAAATTATTGATGATTTAATTGATAACTTAGACAAATTTTGGAATGGATGATTCAACACTTTATGAAATGACTATGTGGGATGATTGTGTAATTGAGCTGTGGAGTGTTTGTATGAGTTAAATATAGGATTGTAAGGTGTGTGGAAGTAATAAATTGGATTGAATACCCTTTGGTTTGGGAGCATGATGGATTCGGCCTATTGAGGTCATATAGGGCTTGATGTTGCAAAAATTGTTTAATGGATGTTGTGTGGTGTTAAATGATGTTTGGAGGTTTTGTGTGATGAGTTGATGCATGTGAAATTAAAGGAAAAATAATTGGTGTGTGTGTGATGTGTATTTGACCCTAGAAAGGAAAAATTAGGAAAATGGTGTTGTTATGGTGTAGGATGGAAAATGGGACTTGAAATGGTGTTGTGATAGCCTAAGGATGCTAAAGGAAAATTAAAATAAAATTTAGAAAAATATTTTGTAAAATTGGCCAATGGTGGCCGAACCTATGATGTTGGGGGTTGAATTTTGGTGCTTTGTAATCTTGTTGATTGCACCTTGTATTGATGATCCTTGTATGATCATTGTAGGTTGCCTCCCGCGAAATTGAACTCGGAACCTTGAGCTTGGTGGGTTGCCTTTGGTCCCTGACCAAAGGAATTTTGGTAAGTGATTATGACTTGATGCGTGAATT